TGAGAATGGAGCATCTGTGGATGAGATCAGAGGCTGCAGAGAGGCCCCCTCCCCATTCCTACCACGTGGGGACCCAGCAAGGAGGCACCTTCTATAACCAGGACACCATCTCTATCTTGCGCTTCCCAAACTCTAGGACTGTGAGAAACACATTTCTGTCCTAAGCTACCCAGTTGTGATGTTTTGTTATAGCAGCCCAAAGGAACTAAGACATCCATCCAAGCCCAGATGGCACGGATGTTGGTGTTTCGGAGACTGGCAAGAAAGACCTGCAAGCTCCTCCCCTTGTCTTTAACCAAAGAGCTTGTTAGCCCTCCATTGAAGGAGAAAATGCTTGTTTGCAAACCTGTATTTTCCTACCACCTACTTAAACTGAGAATCTTCTAGAGTCACTTAAATTTGTGGAAAAGAGAACAACTATTGTGGGTGGAAGGCCAACCCTGTTCCTAACTAGTGGCTCTGAGTCCTAGTGATTGTGGGTCTCCCCTCCCCACCCCCAGAGGACAGTGGGCAGTTTCTGGAGACATATTTGTCACAAATGGAGCAGAGGGTACTACTGGCGTCTAGTGAGTTAATGCAGGGATGCTGCCTGGCATCCTTCAACACCCAGGATCGTCCCCCACAACAGAATGCCAGCAGGGAAAAACTCTGCCCTGGGCATGGCTGGCACCTCTCACTCAGCACAGACACCCTGGAAGCGCAGCACCGTCGTCCTGGGTACCAGGATCTGAGCCTGAGTCTGTCTCCACATCATTCTTTGCCATAATGGAGGTGCTAGAGAGCTGGAGGTGCTGGGTGTGCAGCAGCGGGAGGCAGGCATGTCCCCCTCCAGGGCCATGAGAGGGCTGGCCGGGCTGTGTCCGTGCTCACCGGCAGTAGGTCCTGGAGACGCCCTCCTGCTGCCAACAAGGACCTGCCAATCCAGGTGCCACCTCTCTCTGTGCCAGAGCTAATGGCAGTGGCTGTGAGGAGGGGCATCAGCTTGCTAACCACGTCCCAGTCACAGGGGCTTCTCGGCTTAATTACCTTCCTCATTTGCACTCTGGGTGGAACACCTGGGGGAGGCGCGCCAGGCGGCATTTTATCTCTGCCGTCCTCCACCCAGCGGGTTCCTTGCCCATCTGTTGCTCTTCAGCGTCCACCTCCAGCCTACAATTTATGTCCACCCCGTGTGCGTGATTTGTCTCAGCTTCTCATTCGTTTGGCTCCCAGGTACCACTCCCAGCTCTGGGCTCAGTGACCCGTGTGTCCTCTTCCCCCTTTACCTCTCCCTCCTCCTGCCCTGGCTCCATCCAGGGGAAGCCTGGGGTGGCCGCCTCCCAGGTCAGCCTGGGCTTTAGAGGCAGCAGGTGGAGGCTCCCTTCCCTGCGCCAGCGGAGGACAGGCAGGAGGAGGCGCCCCTGTGCACACTCTCACAGAATGTGGATGTGTGGCCTGTCCCCTGCTGTTGGCCTGGCGCAGGTTACAGTGCAGCCAGAGGGTCGATGTGTTCTGTATCTCTGCTGAGCATCCAAAGGACCTCTGGGGGAGGGGAACAGAATGGGGACAGGTCTGGCTGCGTCCCTCCTCAGCTGTGTCACTTTGAGCAGACCCTCTCTGGAGCTGTTGGGAGCATTCGTGTGTCCATTTGGTGTCAGGAAATGCCCTGAGTCCCTCCCTGGCTTTTGACACCTTCCCTGGGGAAGATCTTCAACCTAGAGACCCTCTGTTACCTCGGGAGTGGGTCGTGGCAGGCAGAGAGCAGCAGGTTTGTAAACAGTGGGCCCCTTGAACGGAGGAGGCAGGTCAGGAGGCCGAAGCCGAGGCTCCTCTAACTCTGCGTCCTGCTGACCGCGGGCGTGGCCATCTCTGCACCCAGCGGGCTGCCTCCTGCCCCCTGGTGGTGTGTCAGGGCTCCAGCCATGGCTGTCCTTTCTCCCCCAGGTTCCTGTGATCATGCCAGAAAGATCTCAGACGCGCCGCTCAGAGCAGCAGGCATGAGTTTACTGAATGGTAGGGAAAGAGGGTCCTGCCCAGGCCCACCTTGACTTTTGACTGACAGCAGAATGACCTCAGACTTTCAAGTCCCCACTGCGCAGGAGAGCTCTCGGTCCCTTTGGCCCATGCTGACTGGTTCTAATTGGAACCTGTCCTTACAGATTTTTTTGTTTTAGGGGGAATTGTCCTTATTTCCCTCGTTCTGGGATCTGTGTGGTCTGCGTAAAGTCACAAGGATTCCCCTCCACCCTGCTTCAGGGCATCAGTGGTGTTCTGAGCAGCATTTCAGGCCTGCATTTCTCTTGCAGAGATCAGGTAGTTTGCTGAGGAGCGTAACGTATCCTGTTCACATAAGCCAGGCAGGGCGGCAGGTACGTTGTTTTTTTATAAAAAGAAAGCTTGTGGGCCCAGGTTATGGAATCGTTCCCTGAATCTCATGTTCCCACCACTCGTGTCTTTCTGTTCCCTATCAGTGGGAAGTCGGCCGAGTCCTCAGACAGCCGCCCCAGCCTGTCCTGAAATTCAGCTTCACCAACATGGGGCAGATCTTGAAGTACTGAAGTGTATCAAACCTCACTCGGGTTGTGGCTTCTATGTAGTGTCCATTCTGAGAATTTCTGGGAGATGGGACCCCAGAATCAGAACCCTCCTGGCTCTTGGGCCAGCTCCCCAGCACCTTTCTCTCTGCTCCAGAGCCAGGAGGTGACAGTTCCTGCCTGCAGTTCATGTGTAAGGCGTGCCACCTGGTGCCTGGCCCCCAAAAGGCCACCAAGCCCCACCCCACCCCGCATTCCCAAGGGCAAGAACCCTCGACAGTCTGTGATCTCAAAACAAGACCTGATTGGAACCCAGCGTCACCCTAGAGGAAAACGTTGGCAAATGAGGGCTCAGCAGGTGGCAGATGTGATTACGGGTTGACATCAGGTCCCTTAAAGATAAACTGAAATTTGATTTAAACCCTCAGCTTGGACGAGCCTGTCGCTCTGGCGATGTTGACCTGGCTGGCTTCCTCCTGCCTCGGGGGTGGCTGAGGGAGTGTCGGGCCTTCTCTGGGGTGCTGTCACGTGCTCCACTTATGCTGAGACGGGTCCAGGAACCCCGATGCCTTGTGGCTTCAGAAAGACGCCCCTACCCATCATGTGACTGTGAATGTCACACCAGCCGGTCCCAGGGGTGCCCACCACTTCTACGGTCCTAGAACTCTGCGTCCCAGGGTTTGCGGTTGTAAGAAACCTGGGAAGCCACTGGGTGGGGAGTGAGTTCCAGACTCTCAACCAGCTGTCAGGCAGCCTTTGTTCACCCCATAAGGCCCGGGGGAGATGGGGCACAAAGGTCAAAACGAGGCCGAGAGGAGCCCTTCCCACCTTCGCAGGGCCTTTGGCCCCAGTCTGGGCCCCAGGGGCTTTCTCTCCTTAACCTGGGACATCGGAAGCAGCCTTCCTGTCCCCTGTGCCTCCAGGTGTCCTAGGCCACTCCAGCTGAAGAGGACACAAGGACAGAAACAAGTCAGAGACACTGAGTCTCCAAAAGCCCCTCTCACTCGGGAGGCTTTGCCCTCCTCCCTCCTCATAAGAAAGTCCCCTCTTCTGGGTACAGTGGTGCCACACACCTGTAGTCCCAGTGGCTCCGGAGGCTGAGGCAGGAGGATCGCAAATTCAAAGCCAGCCTCAGCAGCTTAGCCAGGCCCTGGGAAACTTAGCCAGACCCGGTCTCAAAATAAATAGGGCTGGGGGTGTGGCTTGGGGTTAAGACCCCTGGGCTCAATCTCCAGGACCAAAAGAAGGAAAAAAAAAAAGAAGTTCCCCTCTGGCCCTTAAGAGAAGCCCTTGGCCTGGACCTGGCAGGCCCTGGTGGGTGGAGGGCAGCCGTGCACTGCCCCAGGGATGTCAGAGTGGGTGCCTCAGGCTGCACCTCCCACGGTCCCAGCTGGGCTGGGGCCCTTCTCCACCCCAGGTCCCTCCACGGGCCAGAGGCAGGGTGGGCGAGCTCCGTCAGTCCATGAGCCCCACTGGACACGGCTCGAGAACCGCCTCCTCCGCCTTCCGGCTTCAGGCTGGACGAGAGCCACGCGGCCTGGAGTCGACCCCAGCTGTCCCCACCCGAGGTGGTGCCTTCAAGAGCCCGGATGCTCTTTGAAGGACAGTCATCCCAAAGCACATTCTGGTGACGGTGTTTCTGCCACCCTCCCCCTCCTCCTGACGAGGTCCCCGTTCATTCTGGTGGCGCACAGAGAGGAAGGGTGGTCCCAACCCGAGCGAGAGATCAGGACCCACATGAACCTGTCATGGAGGCTTAGTGTTCTGGGCCTGGGGCCATTCTCATTCACAGTGGCACGTGCCTCTGTTCTGGCCCAGGAGGTTCAAGTGGAGGTCTGCCAGAAAAGGCTTCCCTTCCCCAGTCAGGAGACAAAAGCTCAATAAAGAAAATCTTATGCCTTTTTAACTTTCTTCCTGCCTGGGATTTAGGTGAAGTGCCTGGAGGGGCGCAGTCATTTTGCGACTATGAGGGCCTAATTTGTCTCCAATGATGTCCTTGGGCTCTCATGAGACTCTTAGGCTTTTTGTCACATGAGCTCATAAGCAAAAGCCCCACATGTTCAGGTTGTCATCACACACTGTTGAAGGGCCAGATCGTAAACGGTTTAGGTTTTCAGGACATTCGGTCTGTGTCACAGCTACTCAGCTCTGCTTAGTAGTATGAATTCTGAAGTTAATAATTCATCAACTAATGAGCCCGGCTGTGTGGCCTTAAAACTTAATTTGTAGATACTAAAATCATAATGGCATGGAATTATCACATGTCATGAAATATTATTTGATTTTTTAAAAACAATTTAAAAATGTTAAATCATCTTTAGTTTGCAGGCCATGCAAAACCAGGCCAGGTTTGCCCCAACCTCCACCCCACACTGTTGGTGAGACCCTGGTTTAGGCCCCAGTCTGACCCAGCAGAGGTGATGGTGACATTGCTGATCAGAAAATCATTCTTAACCTGCCGTGTTTTCTTTTGTGTGTTCCTTTCAGAGGGCCTTGCTGTTGGAGTTGGATTTGGGGCTGTAGAAAAGACGGCATCTGCCACCTTTGAGAGCGCCAGGTAAGTCAGCACCAGAAGCCCAGGGCAGGTCCTGCACATGAGGTGCTGCCGAGGTGCGTATCACCCAGGTGAGCTGCCTGGCCGCGATGGAGATGCCCCCCTAGCACGTGGGGCTGAGACAGGCTGGCTGAGGTCACACCTGTCAGAGGTCCTCAGAGAAGCAGGTCTGTGCCACTGGCTCTCTAGTGGGTGAGCATTTTGCAGATAGAAAGTGGTTCTGGCCGCAGGCTGTTCTGTAGGCATGTTGCATGTGCAGAGACCCGGGGTGGCAGGGACAGCGGTCGAGGGTCACAGTGGCCCCATTTTCTGAACCCTCCCTCCCTCCCTCCTCACTGAGCTCCCCTGGGCCCCTTAGACCTGCCTCAGGAAGGTGCACCGGTGTGTCTCACCCTATGACCCCTCTCACATGCCGGGGACCCCAGGATTTGTCTCTGGAGCCTCCTTCCTCTTGGTTTCCTGCGCTCCCTGGACGGCCTTCGCATTCCCGGGCCTTGTTTTCTGTCTGTTTGTGGGTGACACCCACGTCCACCTCCCGCGGAGACTCCTCTCCTTACTCCTGTGGGTCTGCTCCCTCCCCAGCGTTTCCAGGGCTGGTTGACCGTCTCCGCCTGCTGCTGGGTGGCACCTCCCCCTCCAGGGTTCCCTGTCACCACCAGGCACCCTGCTGACCAAGCCAGAGCTCCTGTCACCTCGACATCTTGTTTACCCACCTCCATAGACGGCCACCAGCCCTGTAACCGCTTCTCCTCCTCCCCGGCCCCTGAATTAAGCAGGGACTTCACGAGGTCACGACCGTGGGACCACGGGGGTCCCTCAGACGCCAGGCAGGGGAGCTCCACCAAGGAGCTGCAGGTTCCATGGCCCTCAGGGCACGAAGAGACAGTAACGATGAGTGGGGACAATGATTGGGGTTGGTCGGGTGAAGACCTCTGGGCACAGTGACAGGTGAACTTCAGGTGCACATGCACGTTCTACAGACCTGGGAACTGACCGTCGCTTAAAAACATCATTCACCTCAGAGGCTCCGTCCACGCCTTCAGACTGGCACAGCCCCCAACATTGTGCCCCCACCCCAAGGAATGGCTCCGTGTCCCTGGTCCAGGGGGGCCTGGTCTCAACTCCCTCCTCCCTGGGGCGACCGCTCCTCACTCCTGATCTGCTTCATCCTGAAAGTGATGCCGATTATCCAAATCAAATGAGGTGGTAGGTGGGGAAGGAAGGGCCTTTAGAACGTTAGAAATGTCACCGAAAACAAGGCTGATTATGACTCAGAGCACCCGCGGACTGCTCTGCGGGCTCGGGGGGGGGGGGCGCTGGGCGCTTGGCCCGTGGCACAGCCTTTTTGATCTTGACTTCATTAGACCAAGACAAGTTTCGGAGTCAGGCAGCGGGTGAGGAGCCCCCAGGGGCTGACCTTATAAGCTCTCAAAGGCCAGGTCCTCCCGGAGCACAGGAAATGGCACACGCCACACAAGGCCTGTGCCCGCAAGTGACAGCCGTGCCTCGGGCATTGCACTCACAGGCCGGGCTCTTTCTGTGGCACCGTGTCCCCCATGACATCTCGACGTCAACTCCAATATCCCTCTGTCTGTCACCTGCACTTTCTGCTAATCTTTATGAATATTTCTGAAGGAACTGGAGCGAAAACACTTCCGTCCCACTTCCTCCCTTCCCCCAGACACACTCTCGGAGTTACATAAGCCCCAGCCGGTCCTCCACCTGGGCTGGGGCTGGGGCAGCAGGCCTGGACGTTTCCAGCCACAAAGACCCTCTGCTCAGGAGCATCAGGCCCAAGAAGCCCCCATCCACCCGCATGTCAGCTCGGGGGACAGACCTGCTGGTGCCATTCTGCCAATGCTGTCACTGTACCCTCCAGAGTGGGGAGGGGTTCCCTGCAGTGAAGGCTGCAGACAGGGAAGGGGAAGAGCCCTCTCCCTCGCAGACCCTGCTCTTCAGCCACCCCCCACTGAGGACCCCACCTGTAGTGTGGACTCGGCTCCTTCCCTTCTGAATGCCCGTGACCTTACTTGTAGGTGACAGAGGCAGGGCAGTCCCCAGGCAAGCCTCGTTAGCACTCCTGTTGGCCTTCAGCTCATGCTAACACTGGCTTCGTGGGAGGTGAGGGACGGAGGGCAGCGGCTAGCAAGAACTTCCTGCTTGGGCAGCCAAGAGGAGAGGCCCTGGAAGAATTGTGGGCTGGATGGAGGCCCTGCTGTCCCATAGCCCCGGGGTGCCCAGCCCAGCAGGTGGTGGGGCCCATGCTCTGCCTGTTCCTACGGAGAGCCTGAGCGACGCGGCTCCCCATTTTCCCACAGGGTCCGTGTGTGGGGTCCAGAGAGGCCCTGCAGAGCTGAGGAGGGCCCCAGTGGTGTCCCCATGAGGAAGGGTCTGGAGAGGCAGGCCCTGCAGAGCTGAGGGGGGGCCCCAGTGGTGTCCCCACGTGGAGGCAGCGTCTTGCCCTAGAACACCATCTGCAGCTCCACCGTGCACCTTTGGCTGCGTGAGTGGTTTCAAGGCCCTCCCAGGTTCTCAGTTGACTCCTCCTGGAGTTGGGGAAGGTAGTCACACTGTCAGGTGATCGAAGTCACGGACAGCTCCATTAGGGGAGCCAGCAAGGAGTCATGATCGACAGGGGGAGCAGGCAGCACGAGGCAGGGCCGCCAGGACTTAGGGCACTGGTAGGGGGACGCTACCCCCGCTCGCTGTCTGCTCCCAGTCTCCTGGACCCAGTCAGGGCTTTGTTGAGGGCTCCCTAAGGCTGCAGGTGCTTGGCCTCTTGGTCCCCGCTCGTTCATTCCTTCATTTACTGTTGAGTGAGTGCTGCCGCGTGCCCCATGTTGTGCTCAGTCACTACAGAAAACGTGATTTGGAGGCCATAGCTCTTCTAAGAAGCTTAAAATTTGTCCCTAGTCCTTCTAGTAACATGGTGAATTCAACTGACATTGATGTCCCTTTACAAGTAAACCGAGGAGCAAACCTGGCTTGTACATACCCAGGACCAAGAAGGAGAAAGAAATGCCACCTGCCGGCCATAAAGGGAGGAACCGAAGGCAGAGTGCTCCCCATTGGTCTGGGTGGATGGAGGTGAGCCTTGCCCGTGGAGGTCAGGGCACGGAAGCATCCTGGCACAAAGACCATGGCTCGCAGGCACTGTCTGCCAACAGAGCTGCACCCCCTGGCCAGGAACTTGCACATAGAACTCGGCTCTCTCCAGGATCTTGGATGGAGAGACAGGGTACCAGATACAGTAGATCATCTGCAAGCTACCCAGACCCGTGACTGCATCAGACAGGGTTATTAGGTTCAAATGTATATACCTGATCATGTCCCAGAAAACACAAACACAGGATTCAACATAAAAACTGGGTCTAGGAGAATTAAACAATCTTCAGGGTTTTGTAAGAACAAACCTAAAACCCTTCCAAGGGACCCTCCTGCTATACAAGCTCACCAGACACCTGGGGGTAAAGAGAGCAATTCCCAAGTAAAGATAAGATCACACGAAAATAAAGATGAAACAGGGACAAATCACATAGGCAACAGATTACCACTGAGGAAAGATCACATCCAGAAAACCGAATATATAATCAAACTATATGAGAAAAACATCAGACAAACCCAAGTGGAGGGACAAAATACCTGACCCGCCGCCTCAAAACTCGGAAGAGTCTGAGAAACTGACAGTACAGAGGAGGCTTAGGACACTAAATGCAAGGGGCTGTCCTAGATGGGATCCGGGGACAGAAAAGGATGTTAGGGGAAAACTGGTGAAATCTGAATTCACTGTGGAGTATAGTAATGTACCAGTATAAGTTTCTCGATTGGAATAAACACATCACTGTATGTAAGAGGTTAACAATGGGGAACCACCAATAAAATATATATTTCTTTTTTTAAAAGGGAACTAGGCCCAGGATGTATAGAAACAGTTTATATTAACTTTGAGCTTTTCTACATAACTAAAACCAATCTAAAGCAAAGGTTTATTAAAAAAAAAAACTCTATAAAGCTACAAAAATGAGAAGGCTTTTTAATATTTAATAAGGGATGGAAATTATTACAATAAAATAGGATAGCTTTCCAAGAGAACAGATTTAAAAGACAATCCAAATAGAACAGTTTGAAATGAAAAATATAGACATTAAAATGAAAACTTAGTAGAATAGTTAACTGATGAGATGCAACTGAAGGTAGATTTAATGAAGTGGATGATTGAATCTGAGGAAATCACTCAGCATGTGGCATAAAGAAGCAGAGAGATGGAACTATGAATGATAAATTAAAAGACATGGAATGAAAAATTTCATCTTTTCTAGTAGGAATCACCAGAGGAGAAATCAAGAAATGCAGCAGTAATAGCAAAAAGGATGAAAACTTTTCAGAAATGGAAAAACACTGAAATGGCACACCCTGAACACTGTCAAACCGTCGTGTAGATGTGCTCACCTTTGGAGCACCACCAACCAGGACAAACTGCAGAGGGAGATGGATGCCCTGCAGAGAAATAATCAGTAGACCCCAGACTTAGCTCTAGCAAGAGACCAGGGACTGCTGTCTCCAGAGTGCCACAGGAAAGTGACTGCCGTTCTGGGGCAGAAGACGGCCGGCTTTCTCTTGTGGTCCCAGATGACTTGGGAGCCAGGTGACCTCGGTCACAACCATGTAACACCGTCACGGAAATGCCAAAGTAGACTCGGGTGTCCTCAGTACAAGTGTATTCCCAGAAAGAGGCAGAGGACCTCTGCTGTCCGTCACCTGCCCCTCGTCTAGGCCGTGTTGAGTCTGTCACTGAGAGCAAATGCAGACATTCAAGTTGACTACTCACTCAAACCTTTTCCACAGGATCTATGTAGAAGATACGTCAGGAGGAAAGGGAAAAGCTGTTTATAAATATACTAACAAGAAAGGGGGAGGGATAGCATGGAGAGAGAGAGGAAGAATGAATGGAAGAGAAACACAAAAACAGTAGAGTAACTCAGTCATCAGATGCTTGGACTCAT